CACTATATAACAAGTAAGACACAACTATCTAACACTGTTAATCTATGGAGATCAGATATCTCACTATATAACAAGTAATACACAATTATCTAGCATTTCATGATGTAACATCTATACGTTTAGTTAACAGTTTACATATTGTGTCTGTTTACTTCCTCAACTAATCTATACCCGTTTATAACAGTTTATGTAGTGTTTCCCCTGTGTCTGTTTACTACTTCTGTTAATCCATACACGTTGCTAACAGTTTATGTTGGTAGTCCTCTATGTCTGTTTACTTCTTCTGTTAATCTATACACGTTGCTAACAATATATGAATGGTAGTTCTCTGTGTCTGTTTGCTTTTTCTGCTAACCTATGTTTGTAGTCCTCTGTGTCTGTTTACTTCCTCTGCTGATCTATACACGTTGCTAACAGTTTATGTAGTGTTTCCTTTGTGTTTGTTTATTTCCTCTGCTAATCTATACACGTTGCTATCAGTTTATGTAGTGTTTCCTCTGTGTCTGTTTACTTCCTTTGCTAATCTATACACGTTGCTAATAGTTTATGTAGTGTTTCCTATGTGTCTGTTTACTTCTTCTGTTAATCCATACACGTTGCTAACAGTTTATGTTGGTAGTCCTCTGTGTCTGTTTACTTCTTCTGTTAATCTATTTGTCCATATATTTTATGAAACTAACATTATAGTAATCCTATTTGTCCATATACTTTATGAAACTAACATTACAACAACCCCTATTTGTCCATATATTTTATGAAACTAACATTATAGTAATCCTATTTGTCCATATATTTTATGAAACTAACATTATAGTAATCCCATTTGTCCATATATTTTATGAAACTAACATTATAGTAATCCCATTTGTCCATATATTTTATGAAACTAACATTATATTAATCCTATTTGTCCATATATTTTATGAAACTAACATTATAGTAATCCTAATTGTCCATATACTTTATGAAACTAACATTATAGTAATCCTAATTGTCCATATACTTTATGAAACTAACATTATAGTAATTATATTTGTCCATATACTTTATGAAACTAGCATCATAGTAATCCTATTTGTCCATATACTTTATGAAACTAACATTATAGTAATTATATTTGTCCATATACTTTATGAAACTGACATTACAACAATCCTATTTGTCCATATACTTTATGAAACTAACATTATAGTAATCCTATTTGTTCATAAGATTTTCAAGTTCTTATAAGCAGCTGCTATTGTGTTTAGGTTTGATTGAATTTGGTCTTGGAGCCAGATGTCCACACACTGGGCAAGGTTATTGGGTTGAATGGTCTAAGATTGACTTCACTGTCCATCACACGAGTTTACTACAATAAAGATGATGGTGAGTAAGAGAGCAACGCTCTAGCCATCAGAACGTGGAATCTCCTTCTTCTGAAATGTAATTAACTGTCAGGATATAAAATGTATTTATATACTATACGTTGTTGACGACTTGTGTTGAAGAAGGGCAACAGCTCACGTGGACGTTGACGAGTCAGAGGTACTTACCTGCAATCCGTCGTAACTTCTTGAAGCGAACTTCAGAGAACAGATTTGGACATCGAAAGGAAAATACTCCATGTCAATAGGACAAGAACTTCTCAACACAGCTCGAGAACGCCACGTGACCTCTCCCGTATGTCTAACAATGATGTTAGTTGTGTCAACGTCGGGATTTTGATTCAGTCCTGCACTAGAATCGGTCAATAAACCTCTCATGAAATGATACATGGGATTTAAACACTAAAAATAAAAACTTATAGCTATAGTATATAGAATAACACTACATAAACTGTTAGCAACGTGTATAGATTAGCAGGGGAAGTAAACAGACACAGGGAAACACTACATAAACTGATAGCAACGTGTATAGATTAACAGAGGAAGTAAACAAACACAAAGGAAACACTACATAAACTGTTAGCAACGTGTATAGGATTACTATAATGTTAGTTTCATAAAGTATATGGACAAATAGGATTACTATAATGTTAGTTTCATAAAATATATGGACAAATAGGATTACTATAATGTTAGTTTCATAAAATATATGGACAAATGGGGTTGTTGTAATGTTAGTTTCATAAAGTATATGGACAAATAGGATTACTATAATGTTAGTTTCATAAAGTATATCGACAAATAGGATTACTATAATGTTAGTTTCATAAAGTATATAGACAAATAGGATTACTATAATGTTAGTTTCATAAAATATATGGACAAATAGGATTACTGTAATGTTAGTTTCATAAAGTATATCGACAAATAGGATTACTATAATGTTAGTTTCATAAAGTATATCGACAAATAGGATTACTATAATGTTAGTTTCATAAAATATATGAACA